CCCCAAAACCCCAAAACCCCAAAACCCCAAAACCCCGTTATCATTCTCAAGAATTGAATAAGTCAAATAGAAATAAATATTCCTAAGCCATCTTCGCTAGGATGTGAGAGAGGGTTGGAATAAATTTCTTCATGTATGGGATATCCAAAGTCTCATCCGGAGCATGAATATTACAGTCATTTCCACCAACTCCCATTGCAAGAATTTCTGTTTCTGGATAAATCCCTTCTAAAGTTTTAAGGAATGGGATTGATCCACCAATCCCATAAAGGCCTGCCTTTTTCTCATAAAATTCTTCGGAGGATTCATGGATTGCTTTGCTAGTTTCTTCTTTAAGGTCTTTCATAACCCATCCACTTCCACTAGAGACATCGTCAAATTCAATTTTTGCTCCGAATGGGACATCTTCAGATAAAGTTTTAACGACTTCGTCACACATCTCTTTAGCATCAAGTGAAGGAGGGAGTCTGATTTTCAGTCTCAAAGATGTTGAAGCTCTGACGACATTTCCAGCTTTAGAAAGAGTAGGTAGCCCATCAGCTCCACAAACAGCTAAGGCTGGTCTCCAATTAATGTTGAGGTACATCTCCTCAAGATTGTCATGATGGATAGGTCTGCATCCTTCAAGAAGTTTAAAATCTTTATAAAGATCTGTTCCAACTAATCCAACAATATTTTTGGCTTCCTCTTTGAATCTATCTTCAATCTCTACTTCAAATTTCTCCATTCTTTTGGTAATGGGGTCTTCAAGTCTATCAAGAAGATTATTAGCGATTCTGAATGTTTCAGGCATGGCACCTCCACAAATACCGCTATGGAAGGCATCTTTAGCAATGCTGACCTTTACATTCATTCCCATACTTCCTCTGAGAGAAGAAGTTAGCCATAATGTTTTGTAATCAAGAGCTCCAGAGTCACAACAAAGGCACACATCTGGAGTTTTGATGATGTCTTTACACTTTTCCAAAAGATAAACAAGATCTTTACTTCCACTTTCCTCTTCAGCTTCAAGAACAAGAACAATTCTGGGGATTTCCTGACCTTGATCAAGGATATTTTTAACAGCTGTCAAGGTTGCGAATGAGACATATCCATCATCAGTAGATCCTCTTCCATAGAGTTTGTCGCCAATAATAGTAGGAGTAGTTGGCCCTGTACCTTCAGTCCATCCTTCCATGTGTGGTTGCTTGTCAAGATGTCCATAAACCATTATATTCTTTTTTCCATTGCCTGGAATCTCAATGAGAGCCATTGGAGCTCTGCCTTCTTCATTATGAACGTGGAACTTCAATCCAGGAATATCCATGGACTCTGCATATCCTTTAACATTATCAATAGCTTGCTCAATAAGCCCATTTGTCTGAAATTCTGGGTCAAATGATGGTGTCAGGTTTGGAACCTTGATGAACTCAGAGATAGGATCAAGGAACATTGACTGGAAGTTATCCTCAATAAATTTCTTAGATTTTTCGGTATCCATTAATAATGAAAAATATGAAAATTAAGTGAAGATTCGGTTTTATATACAAAAAGAGGGGTTTTGGGGTTTTGGGGTTTTGGGGTTTTGGGGTTTTGGGGTGTTGTG